CCGGGGAGGAGGGTGAGGTCACCCGGGGAGGAGGGTGAGGTCACGCTGGGAAGGGAAATTAAGAAGCTAGTGTCCACCTGAGGCACTTTCTCACAAGTAAAGCCAAGCTTTCCCGCTGGTCTTCTCACAACTCAAACCCACACTCGGGGGACCCGCTCCCAGGCCTGAACGTGCCTCTGCAGTGCGACTGTGTGAATACCGACAGGACCCAAACGACCACCTGCTTCCCGGTGAGACGTTCCATTGGACCTGAATCATTACAAAGCTGTCACATCTTGTTAAAATGGAGAATTTCAAAACTCCAATGCGGGTACTAATGGAACGATACCTGTGCGTAAGACCCAGGAGGCCAACTGTGGCCTTTGTGATCAGATCCCTGGTTTTAACCAGGCTTCCTTTGCAAAGCCGAGCTCCTCAGTGGGCACTGAACGCTGGGGGCGGCCCGTGCCGCACAGGAGCTGGGCGGTGCCTGCGCACAGGCCCGGCTCCCAACGCCCTGTGGCCAGGACCGGGCTCCCGTGTCCGTGTGCACCGTGGGGGCCTTGGCCTCGCACGGCTGCTGCGAGGGCCACCCCCAGCCTGAGGGAGGCTTCTAAGGAGGCCGCTCAGAGAGGGGCTTTCGGGCCTCAACTCTTTTTAACTTTCATTTGCTAAATCAAGAACTTCTGCCACAGGACTGTCTGGCTGACAGGCCACATATGTTAGCAGGCTTGTATTTAAATCAATTCGGGAGAGGACACACTTTATCTACACGTGGAATCTGGAAGGCAGATGGGAAGGTACACACTGCATGATTCCTTCTCGCCTTGGCTCTGTAGAAATCTCCCATCTTATTCTTAGCGAACGCTAATCTCCTACCCTCGAGGACAGTGACAAAATGATCACTGACGCCCTCCTGGAAACCCAGGCGTCACGGCCGTCTCCTTCCCCAGCCCGCTGCGTCCGCTCCAGCAACAGGGCTCAGAGGCAGCCACGGGCCACCCGAAACACTGACAGCACCAAGGTGCCACCAACTGTGGCCAAACCGGGCGGAGGTGAAAGATGTGCTGGGAAGTTGTTCTTACAGGTCTTTTATGACCTTAATACAATGACTAGGGGCCGCGGGAGAACCAGGGGAGCTGATTAAAACCAAATGAGCCCCGAGAAGGCGAGAAGGCGAGAGGGCGAGAGGTCAGGGCCGTTGGCCCTGGGCAGCGAAGCAGCCGTTGCCCCAGGCGCTGGCGCAGCTCCTGGCCATGCTGGTGGCCCTTGGCACTAACACCTTACTGCCCCCACTGCCCCATTCCTTTCTGAAGCCAGGTCAGGGGCAACAGCGTCCTGCACACAATGGGCTTGCAAATATCCACTGAACGAACAGAAACATTCTAAAGAGCAACTGATACCCAGCAATTTGAAAAAAGCATTGGAGGGGGCGCCTGGGGGGCTCAGTCGGTTGAGCGTCCGACTTCGGCTCAGGTCATGATCTCGCGGTCCGTGAGTTCGAGCCCCGCGTCGGGCTCTGTGCTGATGGCTCAGAGCCTGGAGCCTGCCTCGGATTCTGTGTCTCCTCTCTCTGTCTGCCCCTCCCCTGCTTGCTCTGTCTCTCAAAAATGAATAAACGTTAAAAAAAACATTTTAAGAGAAAAGCATTTGAAAAAGGAAAAATACCTAATTTTTAAAAACCAGTGCAGGCTAAGAGAACGTTTTCATTAGGCGGCCTCTGGTTACTATTAATCCCAGCATCTGAGTGCACAGAAGGTGCCTGGCGTCTGGGTGGGTCCTACAGCACAGGTGACACTGTCTCAGGTATGTGACAAAGTCTACCAGCAACACCTATACTTCATCTCTACCTCTCGTTCAAACGCTTCTCTGCAGAGATGTTCCTGAAAATGCTTCTTTGAATGACTTTCAGTAGTCACTCCTGGTGTAACCGGTACCCTGGGGTTCACAGGCGGGGATCAGTCAGGTCCCCATCCCGGTCCGAGCCGAAGCTCGCCCCTGACACAACGGGAGGGGAGGGGGCTTCATGTTAGCCATCAGCTCAACAGTCGAGGCCGGATAATTAACATGAAAATTCAAGAGCGCCTATATCCAGTTTGAAAATGACACATGTGATTCTTGGGGGAAGGCACTGAGAAGGGGCCAAACCCGTGCTCTGCATAAATTAAGAGAAAAAAAGGACAAGAAAACAAAGTCAATTCTAGAGGCAGGCCCACAACCGTGTGTGTATTTCTAATGAGGAGAGAGAACGTGGTGATTCACTTTCAAATATTTGTTCCGTCTTCATTCACGGCGTAAACACAGGACAAGGGCTAAGCTACCGCAGAAGTGTGACTGACCCTCATCTGCTTGGGTCACTCCCAGGAACTGCTGGTGTGGTGTGGCCCTTCCCGGGCGGGGGGGTGGGGGGAGGATCCACATTCCCGCCTGTCCTCATCACTGCAGGGACATCCGGCCTGTGGTCAGATTCTCCTAAGTAACATTCTGGCTTGGTCTAGTCACCTTCAAACCCCACAGAAGAGATTTCTTCCCCAAATCCAAACGTGGCTGTGCCCCTTCCCTGCTTCTGTAGCTCCACAGCGTGGACTGCACACTCTGCAGGCAGGGAAATGACAAAGGACACCTGGGGCTGGTGGCCGGGTCTCACCCTACAGGGAACGCGAGGCTGTGTGGCGGAATCTGCAGTGATTTTAGGAGAAACTGGAAATCCAGGTTTTTATCTGAAATCTCACAGGCTTTAAAACACTGGCTCAACTTCGAAATGCTGGCTGTGTGCAATCAGCCCCGGGCAAAGCGCCCGGCCACCTCCCCGCGACACGATACACTCAAAGCCCTCAAGCGGTGCCCAGTGTGGATGTCCCCGCAGGGTGTGACCCGTAGAGGACACAGGTCAGGTGGACGGGGAGTTGCTTCTTCCGTGTTGACCTCAAGCTCAGGGGAAAGCTCTCTGCTCTGAGTTCAAGAGTCCTCATCCTGCCCACACGGCTCAGGCTCCAGCCCAAGGTTATGAAAATAAGTGGCAAACAGCATTAACAGGTGTGTAAACACATTACTGTCCACGCTCCCGGGGTGGGACGTTACCATCCACTTCCCCGGTTATTTCCCCCGCCTGTGGCCCTCAGTCATCACGAAACCTATTAAAACACGTAAAAACCACAGGGGAAGTATTTTTCAACAAACAGTTTGCTTAGTTTAAAAAAACAATAACCCGTTCCTTCACATTTTAATTCAGAGGCTCGAGATTCTAGCTCGACGGCTGGACCTCGAAGTTCAGAGCCAGCGACTCTCGGCCCCTTTCAGCCGGAAGCCTGGGCTGGGAGACGTCTGCAGGCAAGTGGCCGTGCGGGGGGGCCGTCTCGGGATCCAGCACATCGAGGCCTGGGACAGGCACGTCTGGTATCCGCGCTATGCGCGCTCCCTGGCCTGACCTTGAACAAAGTCACAGGCACAGTGCATTCCAATCGCGGGCACTGTCAACGGGACAGGTGCCTGTGTTTGCACACTCTCCCTAAAATAAATAACGGAGCCGCGTTACCTCCTTCTGCTGTCGCTCCAGCTCCTTCATTCGGATCTCTCGGGCCTCCGCGCGGGCCGCACGCTTCGCAGCCAGCCTCGCCTCCGCCTGAAACAGACACGAGTTTTATCAGCAGACAGACCAGCGCCTCCTTCCCACCGTTAACAACGAGGATGTTGCAAGAGACTTTGTTCAGGGCTTAATAAACATACAGGAACACACTGTAAACGGACAAGAGTTAGGGGTCATCGGGAGGGACAGCAGCAATAGTTACAGTAACAAGGATGCCTACCATTTACGGGGCCCTTGCTAAACGCCGAGTGGATGCTGTTCTAAGGGCTTTTTGTGTCATGCCGTATGCTCCTTGCAACAGTGCCGTTAGGTAGATACTGTTACCATCCCCGGTTTACAGACGAGGAAACTGGCACAGAGAGGGTAACTTAACCAAGGTCGCACAGCGCGTAAGCGGCAGGGCTGGGCAGTGTGCCTTCCTCTGGAGCTCTGACCCACCATTGCAGGAAGCAAACATTAGAGCTGGGCATGGCCACAGGCCACCGGCTCAACCCCTCCCTTTACAGAGCAGGAAGCGGAGGCCTGGAGAGGCTGCCAGACCGGTCTCCAGGGGCTGGGACTCGGACTGCTGCTTTCCAGAACTCCCGTCTGGTCAGCTCTCAGGACACCCTGCTGGCCTCAGCTCCCCGTGGCCGCCTGCAGTGCTGGGAAGCCCATCTTTTTTATCGAGAGAACCGAGATGGTGGCAGAGTGTTTCTGGCTGATGGGCTGCCCACCGCCATGGAACTTGCCGCTTGAACACTGCTTCCCAATTTTACAAATGTCACGTTTATGCACCACGTCAGCTGATACAGTGGAGGGCTAGTCAGGTAACTGGTGCAGGTGCACCATGCAGGCTTTTTGGGGCCAAACACAACCCACCTTCTTTCCACTTAATTTGGGGGGGGGG